CACACACACACACACACACACACACACACACACACACACACACACACACACGCGCGCTCATATGTGCAGACATACACATAATATGTTCTCACACAACTATTCCATATTCCAAACGTATACATTATATTTATAACCTCCTTGTCCGTTCCTCAGGTGCAGACCTGCTCTGCCAACATTTGGTACAGTGACCGAAATACGCCAAACTATAAGATCTCCAATGTGGTCTGCCATGTGAGTAATCAAAATTGTGTCAATTGTGCCGTAAAACATCAATAATCATTATGCATGGTGTATGCTTGAGAAAACTCACATCGCCGTGATTTCTGTGGGAAGTTGGAGGATGGCTGTGGTTGGTCAGTTATCAACTTGCGTTAAGTCCACCTGTTATTCCTCTATATGATTTGCTCCTTGTTCCCTATTAAACATCAACCATCCCTCTCCCTCCTTTCCTTTGTATGTTACTTTTATACTCTCCAGTAACACCTCTAACCTTCTGCTCTTACATAACCTACGTGTTGCAAGTACCGCAACGTGTATATATACATACACTGAAATTTGTATTGTATTACAAATGTAAATAAGCCTTTTCCATATTTACACATTTTTAAAAATAAATGTTTGTTCGTCTTTTTAGCATAATTGAAATAGTGTGATCGTTTGCGGTTGCGAGCTCCGAGAGACTCTTTATTAAAAACACGTCTGATTTTGTAGCGGTGAAACCTGATGGCGCTTAAATGACCAAAATTGTGTCGATAGTGCCGTAAAACATCTACCCAATCAATCAATCAAGTACCGCAAAGCTCTTACTAAAACTAAACTCTCTTTAATTCCATTCTATCGATCGCCTTGATTTCGTCCAGAAAAGGGCCCATGTGTGTTGAGTGCCCATATGTGTTGAGTATCTTCACCATAACCATGTCATGATCACGATAGACAGCCCCTCCATCGCCAACAAGAACATCATCAACAACGAACACAACAACAGTAACAACATTGACAACAACAATAACCACAACTGCAACAACAACAATACCCATAACCACAACCACCGCCACCATAACCATCACAACCACAACTACGACCACAACAAAAACAACAGCAGCAACAACAACAACAATAACAACAACAACAACGCTATAATCTTCATCATTATCTTTATCATATCTTTATCACTATCTTTATCATTGTCTTTATCATCATCATCGTCATCATCAGCAGCATCGTCACCATTTACTATGACAGGAACAACAACAGAAACAGAAACAACAACAACTACAACAACAACAACTACATCATTTTCCTCCTCCAGGTACCAGCACCAGCAGTAGCCCAGGACGCGCCATCTGCCCGCGCTGCCATGCCCGGCGGCCCAGAGAAGGTCTCAATGAACGACGAGCAGACTCAGATGGCCGTGTCTGAGCTGGAGAAACGGGTCAACGCCCAGTGTAACTGTCTGATGTACCTCAAGGCCAAGGAGGGAGAGGTCACCAAGCAGGTTAGTAGTGGTTGTTTGGGTGTGTATATATGTATTGTCCTATGTATAGGGAGAGAGAGTGTGTGTGTGAGGGAGAGGGAAGGGGGGGGG